TCGTTGATTGTGTTGCCAAATTTGGCCTTCCTGCATCAGAATGTACGTTGTGGCGTAATTTTTGTGTGGCTACGAGAAACTAATGCAAGATTGTTTGCGTATATTTGTGTCGTAGATTGTACATCTTCTGTGCCATTTTTAGTGTCGTAGGTTGTAGTTGTAAGTTGTACATTTTGCTTTGAGAAATTAGATTTTACGATTGCACGCCAAAAATCTACGAATTTCTGTTTTGAGAACCTGGCTACAGAGCATACTCTCCACGTACCACTACCGACCAGGTGCTGCAAATGTCGACAAAGAAGGTACTCGGCTGGGCAGTGCGACAGCGCCGCACAAGGAGTCCCATGACGCGTACCGTGCACTACCGTGAAAAGTGAACGAATGCGCCGACCTCGCGCCTGGTACTGCTGATGCGTGCGCGGAAGCCGCCCGGTGTGGCTGCGCCGCTCTCAACACCTGACCTTACGTCGCGTCGCGGTCGCCGGCAGAACTGTGGATGACTGAGCGTGTTAACACACCGACCATATACCGGGCGCCAATGGTGCGCGTGCCAGGCCGCCCAGCGCGGCGGCGCGGCAGTCTGCACCAGGGTTAATGATGGCGTAGCAGGCGGTAGTCTGTAGCTGTAGTCTGTAGTCTGTAGGTAGTCTGTAGGCGGTAGCGGTAGTCTCTGGATATCCTCTCACGTGTTCGCGGTATCCTTAGCGGACGGTTGGCTTGTCCAAGCGCCACGGGACGCCAGGCGAAGCCAACCTTCACAGTATATCTCAGGCACGAGAAACACAAAACAATAGACTGATACGGCGCATAACAAGTTTATAAATATCATACAGTGACCAAAGATCCCACATTTGATTTCACATTGAAGTGCACAAAAGGAAAATACAGCACAGTCACTTGGGTCCGTATCCGCATAAAGTGCTTACATGGTAGGCGACGGCTGTCGGGCCCAGCTGTTGCCCCGAGGGCCAGCCGTCGGCTCTGCCCTGTACGGCACTGTCGCATTGCCCAGCTGATGCCCCGAGGGCCAGCCGTCGGCTCTGCCCTGTACGGCGCTGTCGCACTGCCCAGCTGATGCCCCGAGGGCCAGCCGTCGGCTCTGCCCTGTACCGCACCGTCGTACTGCCCAACTGCTGTCGCACTGCCCAGCTGATGCCCCGAGGGCCAGCCGTCGGCTCTGCCCTGTACGGCGCTGTCGCACTGCCCAGCTGATGCCCCGAGGGCCAGCCGTCGGCTCTGCCCTGTACGGCGCTGTCGCACTGCCCAGCTGATGCCCCGAGGGCCAGCCGTCGGCTCTGCCCTGTACGGCGCTGTCGCACTGCCCAGCTGATGCCCCGAGGGCCAGCCGTCGGCTCTGCCCTGTACGGCGCCGTCGCACTGCCCAGCTGATGCCCCGAGGGCCAGCCGTCGGCTCTGCCCTGTACGGCGCTGTCGCACTGCCCTGCTAGGTACCTTCCTAGTCAGCACAAGCAGGACGTGGTCGGGAGCGGAACGAGGTTAGTGTGCTTTGGTCATGGTATTTCTGGTGATTAAAGTCACTATCATCACTATTCTAGTGATACAGGATGAGAAAACAGATACAGGATAAGAACTCGTGCCGAGAAAACGTCTTTTGAGTACATTTACCACGGGACAGAAACGTTTGTCACTGTTAAGTAAGGGGTCATCGACATGACCTCGAAAACGAAGTCAAAGATCATGGTCGGTAAGTCAGAACCTTAATTATTACAGCATATATAAGCATAATTGTTGTGGCGTGGTTTTCATGTTAATTAACATGCTTTTTTGTGATATTATAATGAAAATAGCCAAACCCTGGGCGGAATTTTTTACTATTACGAAGGATTAGGAATTTGTTAACATTCGTTTTATGTTACTGAAGTGACTCCAGTCAGGAATGGCCAATATGGTTGTCATGGCTTATTACAGCCGATCAAAATTGAAGGTGCCGCGCTCCCAGGATAAATACCCTGAGACATTTGGCCGTAAAATTAATTAAAATTTTTCGCTTATACCTGCAGTACTGTCGCAAAGAAAAAAGTCATCTTTTTGGGGGAAAAACTCAGATTTTTTACATCTACGCGTTTTGTCGAGCTGACAACCTACCAGTCATACAGCATATGCAGGTTTTTGCATTTTTTTCTCGCACTGTCCTGAAGGTACCGAGGTCCCCAATAATGGGGCATTGCTATTGATACTTAGTAGCACTGGCTTGTGGATAAGAATGTTAATAGTCACATCACGGCAAGTTTTTAAAAATGTATGCTTGTTCAAGAGCAAAGACTCAATCTAGACGGGCGGACGGACGGGACTGGTCGAGATAAAACAATTTTGTTGAAAATACAATAAAGAACTTCCCAATGAACACCTCTGGAGTTTACACACAGTTTAGTAGGTCCTAAAGGGAGTGATTTACATTTGTAATGGAGATTTTAATTTAAAAAAAGTCAAATCAAAGATCATTCGGTGAAGTTCACAGCCCTGTCCTTCGTAAGACCTAATTTCTGAGCTATACGCCCGTAACAATGTACAGACTTTTTGGTGAAGACTTTTTCAGGGCTACCCAGGCATCCATGATATCATAATAACGTCATTCAAATTCTGCGATTCCATTAGCTATGCGGCAATCAAGGCCGACAAATATCGTTGCCGAGTCATTCAAATCTGGCGTTCGTCTGCACGATTTCCCGATATGACGGCCGTCGATTGGCTCTCAATCAGTGTTGGGCAAGGTTCCATGACGTAATCAAACAATGACATGATGAGGAGCACGTTAACAAAGCAGAGAAGTTGCATTGTCTAGAGCAGTCTTTTACACTTGAAAGCATACAAATAATTGTAACTGAGCCATAGTTATAAAAGAGCTTGTTCATCATGCCTCATGCTTGCCTCAATATCTTTAAACGTGGAACATTCCCTTTAAAAGAGGCAAAGTCCAAACAAACAACCAAGCTGTCGTTGGATACGCAAATTTAGATTTTTTGAACGCTACACAGTCTGAAGGCATCAGTTCGGGCCCAGCTTATGGTCCAACGTACGCTCTTTATATCTATGCGTAGAGGCACATATTTCCAATGCTCCTAGATCGGCAACACCCATGTTTAATTAATCGCAGACGTGTGCAAGCGAAAAAGGATCCCCAGCTGTAAAATGGTAAAAAATCATAGGCAAACTGGACAAACTATGGCAAACCGGACGAGTTACGCGCAGCACAATACAATGATCATTCCTTCGTGAAACACACGGGTTCATCATCCGAAATCAACGCTTAATTTGTTTTGATCGTAGACGTTATCGTTAGCCATACCCCGGCTGTTCACACATATGGGTAAAGTTTGATACAACGTACAATGCCCGTTTTTGGCCGGCCACGCTCTGGGCATAGCCGCTTCCTACCTATTAGTTATATATTTTTCTTGGTAAAACACTCCGGTCCCCACAAATGCCGGATCCAAAGCGATATGTACCAGGTGGTACCGTCGCGACTAAGCACTTCTCAGCGAAGTTCCCCATGTGATACCACCGAGGGTACACCTTTAACGCGGGGCGGCCGCATGCGTGGTGGGGGACATTAGTGATCGCACGGACCACAAGACGTGTGGTCGGTGGAATGGTTAGCAAAAGCAAGCTAAATGTGAATAAATGAGCAAACGTTACATTTGTGTTTACTTTGAACGTAAGCCAAGAACCGAGGTGGTAATATAGGACCAAGGACTCGAGATTTTCGAAGACGATCCGCCGCGTTTTGCACACGTTTTTTACGGGTTTTTAGAATTATCAGAATCGTAGTTAGAATTACATGTTTAGTTCGCTGTCATGCCTGGTAGCCAAGCACAGACATTCACATGCAGATAGGTACAGGAATCTGTGTGGAGTGCATGGGGATTCGAGTCACTCTGCCAGCAGCTGTACATCATCCTTTGATGCCACCGAAAAGGTCGTGAGAATGGATGCACACGGACTTGACGACGTGGAGAGGAAAACACTTCCTTGTGCTGGTGGAGCCCTACTCAGAATGGGCAGAGGTGTACTAAATGCAAGGAAAATCTCGCCGCAGAAAGCGGTCACTCTCCTGAACAGATTTTTAGAGTGCATGATGTGTGTGATAATAGACCACTTTACATGTCCGAGGAGCTCGTCGAATTCGTGGATAGATGCGGCATCTTTCACTCGTTGATCCCCAAACCATGTAGCTTCGAACGGGTTGGGTGAGTAAATGGTGAATGATTTGAGGAGCTGCTTGAAAAAAGCCTCCAGTGCAGCATATGTGGACTGCTCAGTTGTTCCATTGCTAACTAGTTTCAGAAACACGACGCCGGGCATAGCGGACATCTTGCTGAAAAGAATTCCACGGACCAGGTACACCATACTGAACGAAAACATGCAAAGCAGGCTGACAAGGGAAAACATCGAAAAGGACGGAGTCGTTGGCAGTCAAACACTTCTCCCAATGTAATCTGGCATGCTAAGGGAACTGATACATGGGGCACATAAGCAGTGGATTTATGTGGTAATATTGGAGCGAGTCGTGCCCCAGATCCTCCCAGTGGATAATGATGACAGACACCACCAGGCGTGCGTAGATCCCTGGCTCCTGCTACGGCGCCCCTCATCACACATACCACCCAGCCCGGATCACACAGCAGGGTCGCATCTGCCAGCGTGAGTCCGAAATCCATCGTAAGGAACAAGGAAGTGCTCAATGTGCTGCACCTCGTGCCTATGTAAGGAGGCTAGCAGGCGCTATGTGCCTTAGAACAGTTGATGAGGCATATAGCGTCGCCCCTTCCCCTCAGCGGTGGGACCCAGGGTGATGGCACTCTTCATCGGTGGCCACCGCCGGCCTTGCTCACTACATCCGGTCTTGCAGGCATGGTCACATGTGCAGGCTCTGCACGTACGGATGTTTATAGCTACTGGCTTCTGCTCCGCACCAGACGCTCGCGGCGGGCGGTGCCGGTCGGGTCCGCTTGTGGACAGCATCAGTGTGCGGACGCCTGTCGACATGGCGGCGTCGCCAGCAGCTGTGGTCGTGCTGCTCTGCCTGTGGGCCGGCAACGGGGCAGGCGCGCCGCCACCCCTGCCGCCCATCCAGTGTGCACTAGTCGACGGGGTGTGCCAGCCACCGGCCTTCTGCGTCAAGGCGGTGGTGAGGGTAGACTGCCAGCACCGCTGGGTGGAGGTGGGCGAAACCTGTCACAGCACGACTGCGCCCAGCGGTGGCGCAGACAGCGCGGGCCACTGTCGGCCGGGCTGGGTCAAGGTGGATCGATTCTGTCATCCTCGTAATCTCCGAGTGAAGAAGCCAGAAAGGGGCAACTGTGACCCAGGCTGGATAGAGGCGGGCGGACTCTGCCACCCTGTTCATGATGGCTCTGAAACGGTCAGGATGGGCGGCTCACAATCTCACAGACGACCCAAGTGGAACGTGACCATTGTCTTTCATTGGTGGTGCCCCTTCGGGTTTACAAAAATAGACGGTATCTGCCGATCTCTTCCCACACCACCAGGTTAGTGACACAGTTTATTTGGATTTGCTCGCTCAAACGGTACGCCATGCTTAGGCTTGAAGCGTTTATGTTTACTTATGTTTGAGGTTTCAAATAAGCAGCCCTATCAAGCATGTAGCAATCGAATTCCGTGCCGTGATTGCGCAATCAGTAACCTCTTTTTGCGGGATTAGGCCTGACGATATGTCTCCTGTCGTTCTCGGGCAGAACGTGATCCTAAATGAGCAAAGACAATCGTAATCTTGCTGTTTTTAGACACTACTGTTGGGCAGATGACCTTCAAAAGAGGGATTTATTGAGAAACCAAATCCCGCGGAAATAAACTTTTTGGGGTGCGGGTATGTTATAAATTGAATGGAAAACATTGAACTAACCGTTGTATTTTGATATTTCTTGTCACCTAACGGACAGGTGTCTTTCACATGCGAGAAAACGGGACGGTGAGCCATCAATTTTAGGAAGCGGGTTTGCCTATTGTAATGTGCCTTCCTGTTCACAAATCAAACCATGAGATAACATAAGTTATTTGAAATATATATGCGCACAAAAATAACACGTTTCAACAAGTAGAACAATTTGCAGAGGCTTGTTTGTAGGATGTGTAATGGGACATCGTTTTACAGAAATAAAGCATGGATATAGGTATCATATACAAAATGCTCCATCGAGCATCACGAAAATTTTGCCTTGGGTTTAATTAAAAAGCATTGACTTTCAACCCAGATGACAGCAAATAATTGTGCAAACGTGCGCAAAAAAACGCTATTGAGCTTCAACTAAACCACACTTCGGTGACCCGCCATCTGGTGGGTAGCGCTAACGATGCTGGCGGCTCCCTGAAGCTTGAAAGACACAAGAAGCTTACTGTTGTGAAGTGTTTTAAAACTTATAACTCGTCAGTTACATATATGACAGAATTTTCACGGGTATTTAGGTGTGTCCTTCATATGAAAGCAGGGATTCTCAACATCACTTGGGTTTCACCATCACTCTTCTTTCTTAAGACTTCCATCCTCCTCTCTCTCTCTCTCTTCTCTCTCTCTCTCCCTCTCTCTCCATCTCCCTCTCTCGCTCCTCATCCTCCTCTCTCTCTCTCTCTCTCTCTCTCTCTCTCTCTCCTCTCTCTCCTCTCTCTCCTCTCTCTCTCTCTCTCCTCTCTCTCCTCTCTCTCTCCTCTCTCTCTCTCTCTCCTCTCCTCTCCTCTCCTCTCGCTTCTCTTCTCCTCTCTCTCTCTCTCTCTTTTTTTCTCTGTTCTGTTGTGCCGTGTGGCTTACGATCTTTTTCGGTGTTATGAGAGTCAGAGTCAGCCAGGTATAGCTTGTTTCCATTTTTCATTTTTTCACATTTTTCACACGTTTCATTCATTTCACACGTAAGGCTCATTTTCCTGCCTGCCAATTGCGGGTCAAATGACCTTCGGGTTGCCTTACAGCAAGACGCACGATTGGAAGTTAGTTTGCGCGTGTACCCGGATCAGGGAGCGGTGTCACGTTTGCCGCGATGTCATGAAAATGCCATTTTGATGTCATCCAGTTGGACGAGGAATTCAGCGATGTAACAGTGAAAAATGTAAAAACCTAGTTCGAAGGCCCCAATGTAAGCGTAGCAAAGCTCAGACAATGCACGCCGTTACTGAATACAGCTATAATAAATTTTAAAAAGATAGATGAAGTGGGACGGGCACACTGCGAGGTTCCTGTCGGAAAACGACGAGTGGGTGACGACATTCGTCTTGTCGGATCAACCCTCAGCTGCAGACACACGAGGTCGGCGCGCACTAAGATTCAGCGGAAGGGGCGCCAGCGCTAAAAGCAAGCCGACAGTCACTCATCAGGCACACGGCAGATAAACTTCTTCATGCGGGAAAACAATGAGCTTGAAATGAAGGACGAAACGACCTAGCCTCCGTTATTATGTTGGTCTTGTTGGCATCTCGCAGTCGGTCGAGACGCCAAGAAGGCCGACAAAAGTTTGACGTCTGTTCGGAGACCAGTCAGCCTCGCCAGTCGAAGAAGTACCATGATAATGAGCCTCTGGCTGTACTCGTCAAGGGACATTTCGCCAAATCAATGTGGGAGTTTGCACAGCTCTCAGCAAAAGAGCAAGGTGCGGATATTTGTTCCACGTACATTGTCATTCGGTTGGGAAAGGCAAAATGTCAGCCAGCCAACATCATCGTGGGACCCGACCGTGCTAAGATGCCGCTGCAATCTGCTGGAACTTTCCGCCGGTGTTTGCATACTCCTGCAAGTGGAGGTGATATGGCAGACAGCAGGCGAGTGGGAAAGTGTAATGTTCCATCCCCGTTCCAAGTGGGCTTCGATGGGTACACACATCAAAGCTTCTGCAGGGAGAGCGGCACTTCGGAACCCGTGCAAGATAGTCAGGTGCTGCTCGCTTCCCTTGTGACATTTGAACTGACTTGTGGAGATAGCTTGGTGTAGCACAACCGCGCGGCGTCGTCCACCAGGTTCTGTCGGCCGATGGAGTTAGAGTACTACCGCGGGACCGCCGAACTTTGCAGATCTGAATCAGCCTACTTGACCCAGCAGATCAAAGACTTGACCCAGCAGGAGGTGGGCTTCGAGCGCCTCGCCATCAAAGTATTTTTTTTTTGCATGATACCATGATCGACGGCAAGGTGCTAAGTGGGATTACCGAGACCGGTTCAATGCAACGACGTCCGCTCTGCAAGTCAGCGCCCCCCCCCCCCCCTCCCAAAAAAACACGAACCATCTGCTTCATGCCCGGTGACTTGCAATCAACAAAAAACACTTACAGTTTTGTCCCAGTACTCCGTACGCCCAGATCCGGGTTTCCGGGTGCATGTTCCAAATCAGCTGTCACCTTGAGATAAAAAGGTGGCACGTCAGGTCGAAGGGTAAACAAGAGCAGATGCAAGAAGAGAAGAAATGGGTGCAAGCAACGTTTTGGGAGAGGCTCCATCTTCATGTAGACTAGCCGAGAGTTAGAGGAAGTGGCTCGTCAAACGACGGCGGTACGGCCCGGCGGGCTTTTGCAGAGGAAGCGACCTCCGCTGAGATTACCGGGATCGACGAAGGCCTAGTAAGTCACTATCACTATCACCTAAGTCACTATCCGTGGTATCCAATGCCCGTGTCTGCGCACCAATTACTTCTCCATGGAGTATCTGTCACTGTCACTCAGACTCTTCAGTGAAGAGGGACAAGTACCTCGCAATGGGGAAGTACGAGCATACGGTGTCGGACACGCTAGGAAAGCCTCTCGCAAGCATAACATTGCTGACCAGATCGGACACCTATTGGTCACCTGTGACCCCATGATTAACTCTTCGGTGATCAGTGTACGTAGTCAGAGAGCTGCCAGGGCAAGAGGACGCTGTCGAAAGACGCACTCGCCCTTCTACAACAAGACCCTTCCAAAGCCTCGGCATGTAGGCCAGGAGACGACACCAGTGATACCGACTACTTCTTTCACCATCATCGTCATCACGTTTATTAAACAAGACACGCAATATAGAGCGAACGCGGATCAGAAAGGCGCAAAGGTAAAAAAGCTTAAGCCAAAGCACCCCATTTGAAACACACAAAAAGAAATTGCACCCCAAGCACCCCATGGCGACCGCCGCCATGGTACAGCTCACTTAGCTGTTTAACTTAACTGGATGGTCAGTCTCCGAACGCCTCAGCGGAAATGCACATTCATGAAGTTTGGTGAGGGGGATATCTGGCAACACTAAAGGTGAGACATAGTAATAGCTTCACTCCTCGGAGAAAACCCAGGAGAATAGAGAAGTAGATGATGGAGATATAGATGATAATAGATAGATGGAGACGATGAATATATTAATGCGCGAGATATATACGTGTTAACGCATATATATCCTCCATTCTCCTGGTTTTTATCCGAGGAATGAGGCTGGTACTACTGTCTTATGTATGCGAACAAGGTTCTTTGCAAATGCACTTAACAGCTTACGTACCACTAAAGGTCAATCAATTGTCTACAACTGAGCAGAAAATTTTGGAATTGGTGATCCACCACCGAACCGTTACCGTCGCTGAGATTTGCGCCATGTGCTAGAGTTCGTGGCTGATATAAACGTAACTTATGTCTAAAATCAGTGTGTAACGTTCGAGATGTGCTGTCAAACAGATCGTTTTTTTTTTGTTCTAAGTACGTTTGGCACGAGAGGACAAAATGACAAATGCTTTCAATCTGTTACCCTTACTCGCACGCCTGCAATGTTGTTTTTCTAACAAAACAAAAAAGATGGGAATTCAAGCGGGACGTGTCCATTCTTGGCCTCGCGTGCAAACAATATCTCTATTTGATCGCGTTCTGCAATATTGGGGTGGATCGGGCAATCCCAATTGCTCTCAAATGTGTTTTTTAAGGCAGAGTGGGTGAGGTGTCGTTTGGTGTCGTGCAGTTTATTCCCTTGTTAGCTAGTTCTTGGGAAAACTCATTTGTGGTACGATGATGTGCAATTGTAGTGCGCGCGCCTGCATTTCTGATATTTCTGTTAGTGTCTTGAGTACGAGTGTCAGGATTGATTGCTGTGCTCTGGTTCGGAATGCGTTAGCCGGGGTCTTTTAGTTTGTGATAGAGCGTCGGTCGGTGTATGTGTCGCCTCGTTGTCAGTCTATCTCATCCTAACTCAGCTCGCAGTTTGTCGGGTGACGTTCTTAAGAGTATCCGGGTCACTTGTCTTATGACTGTGTTTTATAGTGTTTTGAGTATTTAGTGATGTGCCCGTCTCAGATGGCACCACAGTGGTCAAAAACAGGTTTAATATACACTTTGTAGATTTGGTCGAGAGATTACTGAATAAGCTTACTTTCGAGGGCAATGTAGCCTATAGTGTACTGGCTGAAGACCATAATACCTGGCGACAGTATTGTTAAAGTTTGGTTTGACTGTGGCTATGCTTCAGAACCTCCCGAGGATGCGACGGAAGTTCCTGAGCAGCAGCGTTACACGGACAAAAGCATCACTGAACGAGAGCCGCCACACCATGCAGCGGTGGTCGTGCCATGCCCCCCAGACTCCGTAGAAATATCAGGACGCTGCCGACACATTTACAGGCCACCGGGTTAGTGCACCATGCTCATTCTGCATGTTCCGAGGAGAAATGGCGGCACATTGTGGCTGCCAACTTGAATAGGCGGTTGCCAAGCACAGATGCGATGAATTTCGCTCAAAGTACCACGCTGGCACAAAATGACGGCTTTGTAGAAGATGATGATTCCTTGCACGTCGAGGCAACCTTTGGTGTTTGTGCTCGTTTTTGTGGGAATAAGCTCGTCGTGGTTTCTACTCACCTTTGCAGTACACGAAAAACAATTTCGTCCCACGAAATTTGACTTTCCAAGATAATAGTTGATGCTCAAGTTGCTGACTATTTGAGTTAAATATGTACAGCTCTTATATTTAGGCACGATGCCTTCTCTAGAAACACACTCTGTCACGTTGCTAGCAATTGCACAATTGCTCTTTCTGCTCTTCTGCACCGTTCACATTCTTATCACGCTTCGCAGTTTCCCAGCGGACATTTAGGTGACCACTTAACATTTATGGTTTCTACGTTTAAAGCCGCAATATCTTGCTCAAAGCAGCATTTAGAATATGGCCATGTAGCCAGCTGTTTCTGGCCCGATTTTGATATACGTGCTGAGCGTGAAGCGATCACTGAATATTCGCTATTGGAAACTCCTTGAGTGTTGAAAACCGTAAATGTGTGGCGAAACAGTGAGTGAAATGTGCATATATTTGAAAACCTTGCCAACCGGAAGTGTATTTCGAAACATGAATACAGTAATGACAGATTTAGAAGGCCACCCTGGATGGCAATGCCTTTTTAGACGTCACTTTTTACGATAGAATAAAGCATTATTTTAATATCCACCATCAGGTGGGCCATTTGTTATGAAATATCACACCTCACCAACACATCACAGCCAAATTATGTTTTCACCGGCCAATGCGTTTCGTGGAGAGCAAAATAAAACTTAATTTTAGTTATGTTAACTATTTTTCTAATAGCTGCTCTGAAACACCCCAGCCCGTGAAAAACAATTCACCCGAGCAAGGTTGCCCTACGCGAACGTACATGTCTGCGACACATTGGCCAGTGTGCACGGTCTACCAGCTGGGCTACAATGACGTCATGATTTGACAGCAGAGCTGGTAAGGCGCCTGACAACAACTTGCGATTACAGAGATTTGGTTCTGTTTCAGGTCAGTACACAGGAGCGTTTGCCAGTACCTTTGACCGTAAGTGAGCCCCAACAGGTGTGCAGTGGACGAGTTACGCATCAACAGGTCTTCATCTACCCTGCTGCTGTAGATGGTTACAGTTTAGGGGAATTCCCATTTGACATGATGGGAAAAGTCCACTTTCTGCTCTGGGTATGCTTTTATGAACTGTAATGAAGCATCCCATCCCGTGGAAGACGACTCACATGACCCAGGCTGACTACCAGCCTTGATATCAAGTGTGTTGTCTTGATTGGTCTAGACAGCACAATCTCACCATTAAGTAGCAGGAGTGACCTCGATACGTCATTGTTTCATTACGGCGTGGACATCAGAATGTGACGTCAGGGCAGCTGCCAAGCTGGCTGTGTAAGAATTGCCGCTGCAGCGGACGGGCTGACTCACATGCAGTGCTTCCACTTGCCACAAAGCTTATTCCATGTGTGTTAACTTAAATTTCAGTCGTTTGGTGCGCGCGTTTATCATTGTCTCTTGGTGTTCTTGTATATTTGTCTGCAACTACATTTATTTTACTTGCGTTTGCATTCTCGGCTACGGCGCTGCTCTGAAATATTCGATTCCGAGTCTCATCTTCGTCATAACTAGCAGAGCTGCCCAAATGCCTGAATCATAAATCACAGGACCCGGCTCGTGTTCGAAGTTTGCATTTGGCGCGTTTAACTTGTTAAATGCAAACTGCTGTGTGCTGATGCGATGGATCGTGTTGACGTATTCCAGACACGAGTTAGTCAATGACAGTATTTTTGTTTACGTTGATCACATTGTGGCCATTGAGGAGCTTCAATTGAGAAATGTTTCTGTGACGTCAAAATCTCTGGTTGCCTTCAAAATAATCGGCGGGATATAGTCTGTATAAGTTTGCGTGCGCGTGGTTCATATGCTAGATACTTCAAAGTCTTGAAGATATCATAGTTCTGAACTGCAGGATATCATATTGAAAAGGGCCAACTCAGGTCAAAACCCCATACAAATGTGAAATAATCTTGATAGCAAAGGTACTTCCCCAGTCGTGTCTCTTAAAGGCGATGGACGAAACCACAGCCTACGTGATTTTTTAGAGCACGTGTTGAAAACTGCGAGAAGGAAACTCCCAGTTTTCCTTTCGCTTATGATGTTTATGTAAACTCGAGCTGAAAAAGCGAGAGAAACCAATTGACATGCGTCCTGTAGGTTCTTGTCGTGCAACTCAAAGAAGGTATACGTTGCAACTTGACTTATAAACCTTGCCGCAAAACAGCGGCCTGTAACACTGATGTCGGTCCGCAGGCTTAAAGTTGCATACATCATTAGCATTGGCACCAGAGAGTTGATAGTTGGTTAGGAGAGCTAATTGATTTGGAAAAGATTGCTGGAATCGGCATATTTTCGCATTCGATATTTTGGATCATTATTCCGCCGCCGCTTTATGCTGGTATGGATTGTTATTCACTCCTGTGTTTTATGTGGCTGTTTTACGTGAGATAAACGATAGAGGCTATCCATTACACCAAATACTTTTCTAATGTTGACATGTTAGCGTTGTGTTGCTTGACAGGCATCTTTATATTTGTATGTGGAAATGCCGGTCACTATTAACGATATTGAGCTTACCGCAGAAATGTATGCTTGCTTCTCCCACAAAAAACGATGCTAATTGTACGAAAAGTACTTTCTTGCCGCAGACAGCACCAAAGTGCGACTCTTTGTTTCTTCTTTTGCAGCGAACCACATCTTATTGTGGGCTAACGCGCCAACGAAGTAATTCAAGTACTTTCGGCGCATCCGCTTGGTATAGAATCTACAGCAAACCCAAGATGTAGCCGAATTTATACGACTCACAGGGACAACTCACCACGACAATAACGGAACCAAATCACTTAAAACAACACGCTGTAGTTTGCTAGACCAGGCCAGTGGAACATTATGTGTCACAATGGCAAGCTCTGCTATTTTCGGTGCAACCCTTATGCTCAATATTATAGTTAAGCATATTGCTTTAAAATAGTGCATCATCACCAACTGCAAAGTTGGTGATGGTGCATGATGGTCACGATATGGTCCGAGGGCGACGGCTCCCGGGCCCAGCTGATGGTCCGACGGACGGCTGATCCCGGGCCCAGCCGGTGGTCCTACGGTCAGCTGCTCGTGGGTCCAGTTGATGGTCCGACGGACGGCTGATCCCGGGCCCAGCTGGTGGTCCGACGGACGGCTGGTCCCGGGCCCAGCTGATGGTCCGACGGACGGCTGATCCCGGGCCCAGCTGATGATTCGACGGACGGCTGGACCTGGGCCCAGCTGATGGTCCGACGGACGGCTGCTCGTGGGTCCTGTTGCCAGTCAGTAGACTACAGGGTGATGGCGGTAGCCTGAGTGCAGTCGAGCAGATTTGCAACAGTCGTTGGCACCTCGACCCACTGGTCCGATCGTCTCGGCGGTGTATCGGTTCCATGACATTAGTGCTGCAGGAAATCCCCTGCCGGCAGGAGGGCTATGCCATGGCTTGCACTGTCAGTAGCTATTGGCGACGTTAGTGCTACACAGCAAAACTTGTGCTTCAAAAATCCATACCCGTCATTACTTCGGCTGGAAAAACGTCTACTGTCTTTACTTGTACCGCAAAGACTTCTACGCGAAATTAGTGACATACCAGAACATTTGTGTATCAAAACCTTACATTATACCTTACTTCAATCGCAAAAATTCATACGCCCTCTATATATAGGCAACATTATTTCTAGCTCGATTTCGTATAAGCAGCATTAATAACTCATGACAAAACATATTTTTCACGAAATTTGTGTCCGTCATTACTTACGGTGATAACACGCGGACTAGCCTCACTTAGATGCGACTTTGCTTACACTGCGGTATTCACTTAACGACAGGGCATTGCATGGCATGGGGTGGTATGGATAGAACAGGAGGCGACCGGTCTGGTTTTGTTTGGCTCTGTCTTTTTCGCCGTTTCCTCAGTCTGAAGTCACACCCTTCTTTTCTGTCCATGTCCGAAGCCACATGCACTCCGCACTGCTCCGTTGTATGCCGTGCCCCATCCTCCATTATCCAATGTCCTCTGTCAGATTTCCCGCTCCACTTGTCAGATCTCCTTCCTCTGGCTCACCAAAATAGACGGCAGCTGCCGAACTCTTCCCAGCCACCCTGGTTGACGATGCCAGGATATTATGATTATTCGTTTAAAGGGCATACTACATTTAGGACTGTGCGCTCAGAACAACTCCATCTTGGAAGCATATCACATTTAACATTTGCGTGACAATAGGAATCCGTCGTTCGCTGGAATAACCCATCCAAACGGAGCAGAGGTCACCCCTGTCTCCCCGTCGGAAGGCACGAACCGAGGCGCGTGAAGCCTGGCCTCGACATAGGAACCATTTAGCTGGATTTCGGTCACATTTCAGCGCTTCCTCAGAAGCCAGTGGAAGCCTTTCAACCAACAGTTGCAAAAGCGGTGGTGGTCACACCGTGTTCCGCGGGCTATGCTGAAATCGCAACTGCCTGCGCACGCACGGACCGCTGGGTAAGGAAAACGTAATCATTTCGTTTTTACGAGAAGGATTGACTTAAATAGCTTCTTGCCCAAGAATGGAGTGCGCTTAGTGTATGTCACCAATATGAGTGCACTCGCGTAAAAAAGCTCATAAATTATGAGTGTTTTCACGTTAAGAGGACACAATTTCATTGGCTATAAGATGTTCTTGCCATAAAACTATCAAACTCTCCGTTTCACGTTGAAGCTACCGTAAAATCCATTTATTGTGCACCAACTTTTTCTCAAGATTATGTTTGGTACTCAGATGAAAATTACTTGCTCGGTAAACGTCCCAAACATGCGACGTTCCACATCCGCTGCACACGGTGTTATTCGCTGAGCAGCAAGAAAGCTCTGCGAGCTTGCTTGGCTCGCCTGGATCGCACTGTGGTCCTTCCGTACCGTCCTCCTGCAGAGCACACTTTGTATGGTCGCAGCTGACGTTTAGGTGATCATATTTGGTGCGTCCACTTTTAAGACCGCAATATCTGGTTCAACCAAACATTTGAATAATCATCAGTCTACAAGCTATCTCTTATTCAAATGTAGGCCATTACCTTTCAGAGGACCGTTCCACTTTTGAAGGTGTTGAGGCGACGACAATCATATATGATGAAATAAGCTGTCTTTTAACTATTGGCATACTTTTAAGTGGAAAAGACTGCTCGAAACAACCAAATTTCTCCATTTATTCAATCTAGTCCACGAAACGTCATTTTTTGGTTGTGTCATGGAACGTCTACGTGGCAACATTTTCTTGCAGTTTTTCAACCTCCCGAGAGATGGCAGTGCAAACGTTTGGAGGCTTTGCAGCTCATTAGGGAGCCTGGGCATAGTGGTAACGGAATTCAGAGGCTATCACACATAGCCTTTTTCAGAAAGCATACTATTAGTTGGTTCATGTGCCTTTATGTACAGCTATAGTAAAAACAAAGTCTCTTCGCGCTCCAGTGTCGCTTACCTTTCGAAGGTCAATCCTGAAGCTTTGGACTGGAACGCGGCACAACGCTGTTATGCGCAACAGTCCTAACCCAGACGTATGCCCCCGGCAGCATACGGGCCAGAGGGGTGGGATGATTGATGGCCGGCCCATTCGTGTGAAGATGTGGAAGAGGAGCTCGGTCCGAGTCAAAGTGTGCTGAAGAGGCCGCTGTGCGGTCGGTTCTGTCACATGTCAGGCAAGTGGGTGGTGGGCATTTATCACCCATTTCGCCCCATTTCCGTAAGATATACGAGAGAAAACGAAAAGATCGGGTGCGACGTCTTATTTGTTTGAATGCTTATTCCTAAGCTCTTGAGAGGATACATTTCTAGGAAGAGCGCCCAAGCTAAGTGGTGCTCTTTATGTGGCCCCTGGCACCGCCTTCTGATCCTGGAATTTCGGTTCAGTGGTACAATTTTACGGCGAAAGCTTAACATGTCGCAGCGTTTGGCACTGCTCATCCTGCTCGGAAAGTAAAACCCTCAT